CATGAAATTGAATTGAATTCACATTAGAAATAATAGTGTAACAATAATTTATTTATTTATTTAAATTTTAAAAATGGAGTGGTCACTTGCAAAGTAGCACGCCTCGCATACTGTTCTTACAATTATATTGGCCGAATCGCTCACTGTCACAAGAAAAGACCAATATCTCTTCCGTATTATGGCGAAAAAATCGGCTCTATTCACGGCAAACATGCCAGACGCACTACACCGCCAGGGCAGCCTCAGCATAGCGCGAAATGCATTATTGCACTGAGCTCTGAGACTATCAAAAGCTCGCTTAGTGTAATGGTACCACAACTGACTAGTGTAGAATGCCTGACAGTTTGACAGACTTTTGAACACTTGTAATAATAATAATAGTATTAACATGATACAAACGGAGGTAAAAGATGTTACAAACAGATTAATAGAAAAAAGGTTGTGGGTCAGTTCAAGAACCCGTTGCAACTGCACATCCAGGCAGGAGTGGACCCAATTGTGAAACCATCTCTTTGAGTCCCCAATGCGCTGTTGACACGATTGAAGGACAAGTTAAAGTTGTTGGAGGATAGACAAATTGTCTCCAAGGTCGAACATTCTAAGAGCTTCGTGAGTAATTCAGTAATAATCGAAAAATAGACTGATCACTAAGAATCTGTCCAGATCCGAAAGATCTCAATAATGTTTTGCTAAGAGAGTATCACCTGATCCATACTTTAGAGGAAATCATGCCAGAAATATCAAATAAGACATTTTTTTCTGCATTAGATTTGTCTGAAGGATTTTATAATATAACAATACAAGAATACAAGAATACAAGACATGTATTCGTTGAAAAATGTAGTTTACAAAGGTGTTATAGTATATTATTATTAGATCGTACATTTCACCAAAACTTGGCATGCGAATATTTTACATAATTTTACTTTTACAAATTTTACATTTTATAAATGATTGTCACTAGTAACAGGTTTCTTACCACGGTATAACTTCTTTTTATTTTCCCGATATTTCGGAACGGTTGCACGCTCCATGGTCACGGGTTACATTTTATGTTATCTATTAAAAAATCATTTATATTGTAGTAGCAATGTGTAACTAACAAATTATGTAATTTTATTTTAAATTGCCTACAATTTAGTTCTTTAACTGCATCTGGTATTTTATTAAATAATTTAGGTGCCAATATAAACATCGTTCTATTGTAAAATTCCAAGGTGGGGCGTTGTTTTGGCCGTATTTCTATTTTGTTCCTTGTTTTCCTGGGATGTCTGGTTTTCACTAGATTATAGTTGCCTGGATTTTGTTTTATATAGGCCTCGTAAATATACATAGATGGTAGGGTTAAAATCTTCAGTTTTCTAAAATAGGGTACACAGCTTTCTCGCTGGCCCACACCAAACATGGCCCTGACACATTTCTTCTGGGTTTTAAACAGTGGTGTAATATGTGTTGCAGCAGCGTTCCCCCAAAGCAGCAGACCATATCGCAAACTAGAGGCTACATAGGCGTGATAAGAAAAAAAAAAAATTTTGACTAAGTCAAGTGAATTGTGTACTTTTAATCCCTTTCGTTTGTCAGTTGCCTCTGAAATATTTCAAAAATATAATGAAAATGCTTTCGGTGACATACCGGGTGTAATAATGTATTGTGATGATTTGTTAATTTGTGTTGAAACGGAAACGCAACACGATGCAATACTAGAAAAAGTTTTTGAAAGAGCAAAATTATGTAATTTTATGTCAAACTACGAGAATAATATTTTGGACACAATTTTTTTCAGGCAGGTATAACAAATTATGTCTGCATGTATATGTATAATACAGGCTGGCCCATAGTAACTTTTTCAAATCACTTTTTATCAGAGACGAAGGGACGGGTGAGAGAGGGAATTGCATCGATGGATAGCTGCGTTCGCGCCAATTTAGTTATCATGGGTTTAGTTGCCGCGCTTTTTGCGTTCGCGCCTTTTACGAAAATAGTCGTTCTTACATCATTGTTCGTCGTTTGTACCGTTTAGAATATGGTTTGAATAGCAATAGAAACTGCTAGTGTCAATTTAATTAAAATATGCGTCAAACACTTTGAAGAGACCGGTTCCACATTCAAACCACGAGGCAAAGGCCGTGAACGAATCTCTCATACCAACGAACGCGTAGAAGTAGTAAAGAGATCAGTGCACGAAAATCTTCGCATGTTAAATGAATGAAATGTAAAGTAAAAAAAAAATAGTTTAAACTGTTTATTTCGAAAAATTACAAAAGTTATTTCACCTTACAAAGCTAAAATTTTTATGTTCTAAAATTATGCACCTTAGTGAAATCCAACCACAGCTACATCTTAGCATTATTACTTATTTCAAAGTCTAGTATATTTACTTAAAAAGTTCTTATATAATATTACTCCCTAGCCAAATGTCGTCTAATCAATCTGTCGTCGAATCTTTATTTGTTGTAACTTAAATACATATAACGTAACACTAAAACACATAGCTTTAAAGTACTAAAAAATAAGATATGTTACAGTAATTTCCATTGACTTACAAATAAATGGACGACGGGTCTAATACAAAAACCACGAAAAAAATGTCCCAAGTCAACCTATTTAAACGTAGTGACATGTAAAGGAATATGAAAAAGCTAAAACGTTGAATTTAAATTGTAATGTCATCGCAGTATCGCGCTGTCAGTCGAACAAATGAAGATTAAAGCGGAGTTTGACGCTCTGTATACGATTTTAACGCCTTACAAGTTCGGACACTTTTTAGCGCGGACCCGACGTCCATATAATTGTAAGTCAATGGTCATTTCCTGATTTTTTTTTGGATGGAGGAAGAAAAGTATGTAAATAGTAGTAGTAAACACGAAAAATTGTTTTTTTTTTTGTTTTTCCAATTATTTTTTATATAAAGGTATAGATGTAATATTATATGTAATAACGTGACCTAGCTTGCGTGTCACGGAACGTCATTAGCTGTCAAGACGGAACGAGCCTCTTTACAAGATGGCGGAGTATTGGATAAGACTTGTAAAATATTATAGAATTAAAACTCTTGTGTTTCCTCAAACTATATTTTATTTCAATAACACTACAATTATTATAATAAATACAGAATATTTTTGGAATATACGGAGATGTACACACAGGTCAGTTGTTGGCGATGTACCATTTCAGCTTTCTAATTTGTGATTTCAGTGCAAATGAGAGTTGATATCAGTGCCTCTAGTGAAGAACCGGAATAAGACGAGTTATGCCCTTTTGTTTTTATTGCACCACTGGCTTCAGCGTGATCGATTACATAACATGTCAGTAGGACATCTCCCTAGCAGTCTCCTAACGTCTCGTTTTCTTATTGCACTAAGGGCATAACTCACTGTTTTTAAACGCGTAATTTTAGTTATCGGGCATTTTCTAACGAGTCTAAAGGTACAAGTAGTCTCAAGTAAAAAAAATACATGCAAGTTTAACGAATAAGTACAGATATATTTTTACATAAAGACACTTCAAATTCAAATTCAAATTCAAAATAATCTTTATTTCATAGGTAAGCATTATTACACTTGAAATCGTCACAATGGTTAAACTCTACCGCTCATTCGTAAGGCAGATTCCCCTGAGAAGAATGAGCAAGAAACTCTAGGGGTTGCTCTTTGTAAATAACATTTAATATTGTACATCAGAGACATCAGAGATCGAGACTACCTCCATGAGCTAAACGGGTTACTACCACGGATTTTTGTCATCCAAGTACGCAGAAGTTGTATAATAACCTTTAGTATAAAGTTTTTGTTTCACTATAGTTTTAAACCTCGTGAAAGGCAAATTTTGTATATCAACCGGTATCTTGTTATAGAAGCGTATACATTGCCCCTTAAATGATTTTTTGACTTTGTGAAGACGACTATCAAGAAAAGCTAGTTTATTTCTATTCCTCGTATTAATGTTATGTCTGTCACTATCTGTCATAAATAAATTACTATTCCTTTTAACATTAATTACATTTTCATAAATGTACTGTGAGGCTAGTGTAAGAATGTTAATTTCCTTAAACTTATCTCTCAAAGATACTTTGGGGCCCAGATTGTAAATTGCCCTAACTGCACGTTTCTGCAGGACAAAGATTCTATTGATATCGGCGGCATTACCCCAAAGCAAAATGCCGTATGCCATTAGACTGTGAAAGTAGCTGAAGTAAACCAATCTAGCGGTTTCGACGTCTGAAAGTTTCCTTATTTTTTTAATCGCGTACACTGCAGAGCCGAACCGTTTTGATAACTTACTCATATGGGGAGCCCATTGCAATTTAGCATCTAACGTTATACCTAGAAATACAACTGTATCCACAAGATTCAATTTTTCGTTTCAAACTACAATGTTTGTAACCTGTTTATAAACTTTTCGTATTCTTCCATAACGACTAGCAAAAAAAACGGACTAAAAGCGACTATTGCCTTATTCCACAGTGTACGTAAGGGTATAACGAGCATTTTGTTTATTCCACTGGACACGAATGGCCAGACCCGCGGCTATACCGTGTTGCTATTGGTTAATAGTTCGCAACAGAAATCTTATCGTTTTATTCCTTCAACGATTTTATGTCTTCTATCAATGTGGTTAGTATCTTAAGTATTGTTATAACCATAGAACAATCGCAGTTAAGGGAATTAGTCTAATTATGTTTTAAAGTTTTTAACATAAGTCGTGTTATATCGTGTTAACAAGGATGCAACCAAAAAAAACTTAAAAAAACATAGAAAATATGACTGAATGTTTAACCAATACCCATTAAACGAAAACTTAGATATATGCCTAAAGCTAGAAATCATAAAAATCATGCAAATCAATGCATTTGTCAATAAATACATTTTAATTCCGATTCTAGTTCTGGCTCTAACTATCATCATGAGCATCTCACTGAAATCTACATACCTGCAGCTATTTATTAAACTACCAAGATAGAGCAACTAAACTGGTGACTCGAACCTATGGTCCAATGGTTTTTATCTACTTATAGCGAGATTATTTTTATTATCGAGGAGTAGTTGCAACTCCTGTTGTTTAGCGATGATGTCCTTAGCCGGCACCGTGGCTTCGGTATTAGCCAGCCACAATAGCAGTGTCTGGCAAATATATTGGACTCGGGATGACCCCTCGCGCTTTCCGCGCTGGCAGAGACGCTCCAATGCGTCTCTTGCTTCGACAGCTTCTCGCCTTGCCTTATCATCCAGGTTCATGGCTTCAGCTTTCTGTGCCAGTCGCAAAATCTCCTCTTGCGACAGCCGCCCCTTATTACTAGTAGTTGTTATCTGGTTTTTGTTCTTGGTGGTGGTTTCCACGGCCGAAACGTGAACAATCCCATTGGCGTCGATGTGGAACGTTACATCAACTTCAGCCTTTGCCCTTGGCAATGGTGGGATCCCGGACAAAGTAAATTCTCCCAATTTATTGTTATTAGCTGTTTTCTGTTCTTTGCCCTCAAACACTTTGATTATGAACTCTGTTTGATTGTCATAAGTGCTGCAGTATCTTTTCGTGTTTTGAACTGGGATGGATGTATTTCGTTCGATAATTACATCCATGTTTTCTCCAAACACCGCAACGCCAAGGGAAAGAGGAGTCACGTCGACAAGAACCAGATCAGGAATGGTCTTGGAAGAGTCTTCGTTAAGGATAGCAGCTTGAATGGCCGCACCATGAGCGACAGCTTCATCCTTGTTTATGGTCTTGCTTGGTTCTTTTCCGAAAAACGCTTTCACCATCTGCTCTATGTACGGTATTCGCGTCGACCCTCCAATCAACACCACCTCTGCTATGTTCTCTTTAGTCATGTTCGCATCGTGCAGCACTTGTTGCAAGATACCCAGGGTCTTTTGAAACAGGTCCTTATTAAGCTCTTCAAAGCGTGCACGAGTGATAACCACATGCAGATTCTCGCCTTCGTGGAGCTCATCCAGTTCAATGTTGGTCTGCGTCGCTGTCGAAAGCATGCGCTTGGCTCGCTCACACGCCGTTCTTAGCCTCCTTAGGGCCTTCTTGTTACTGCGCAAATCCAGTCCGTGTTTCCTGGCGAACTCGCTAGCGCAGTGCTCCACTAGGCGGCCGTCGAAGTCTTCACCGCCAAGGTGGGTGTGTCCAGCCGTAGCGCGGACCTCAAAGAGGCCCTCTTCGATGTTTAAGATGGAGACGTCAAAAGTTCCACCTCCCAAATCAAAAATTAGCACGTTTTGCTCTTCTTCTGCCTTATCGATACCGTACGCGATCGCGGCTGCCGTCGGCTCGTTGATGATGCGTAGTACCTTGAGGCCAGCGATGGCGCCGGCGTCCTTGGTTGCCTGCCGCTGGGAATCGTTGAAATACGCTGGTATAGTGATCACGGCATTGCGTACTGGGTACTCAAGATACGCCTCGGCAGAACTCTTTAGTGTGTACAGTATCATGGCACCTATTTCTTCAGGGTAGAAGCTCTTGAGTTTACCCTTGAACCAGACCTGTATTTTAGGCTTGCCGTTCTTGTTAATGACGGAAAACGGCCACAACGGCATGTCTGCCTGTACCACGGGGTCGTAGAAGTGACGCCCAATCAGTCGCTTCACATCTGCGAAAGCCAAACTTCGAATTCATAATCATTTTTTGGTGGTGTTTTAGGAACTATTAGAAAAAAAAAACGATGAAAAATTCTTTGTTTCCTCAATATATCGACAATGACAAATTAAAGGTTGAACTCTACTGATCAGCACGCATTTGAATGTTTCTGGTATTACCATTTACACACATTTTTACTTTTAATTTTAATTAATATATTATTTACTTTTTTATGTATAATAATAATACATCTTCTTCTCTTTAGTCTTATAATATTTCCTCATATTGTTTGAGAAAATCACTATACATGCCTCGGCGGGAACGGGGATTGCTTAATTCGTATTAACACAAGACCTCGCTGGCGCTCGGCTAACTCAACTAACTCGGCTAAACTCATACTCGATCAGCAATCCCTTACTTCCCGACCTCTGGAATAATATGCTTTAACATACGGAATATGGTGTTTTCCGGGTTGACTGCGTCCTGGACCTTGGCAGGGTCACCGATGAGTCGTTCGGTGTCCGTGAAGGCCACGTACGAGGGCGTGGCACGGTTGCCATATTCGTTTGGTATCACCTCCACCTTTAAAAACATGCATTTTGTAAATATTAATATAAGGCATGGTTTTTTAATTTGCAAAAGCAGTAACAAATTTAAGCGATCATCTTTTCTAATGATCAATCGCTTTTCGCTGAGATATAAAATAAATTAAATCAGTGTATATTTTATAGATTAACTTTAATAGTTTCATGATGAGCCTCAAAACTAAGACAAATAAGCGTTAAAAAATCTAAAACCATGTTCAGAAATGCAAGTAAATTCGCTTCTGGTACTCGCCGGGCGCTGCCGCGATACGCTCGCTTCGCTCGCTCGGCTCGTGCAGCTTTTTAATATACTAACTAACTTAACCTACTGAATGGAGGTCGCAACCAAGATTTAGGTTCGTATTCCAGAACTCTATTCAATGCTCAAGTCAGGATTTGAGCAGACTTGAGTATGATTTCAAGCACTGGAAATACGACCCTAATGGCAAGAACTTGAGTATGATTTTCAGTGCTCACTGCAAGACTCAAGTCCTGACTTCAGTATTGAGTTCTGGAATACGACTCTTAATCTATGTGAAAAAAAGAGGATTTAATATTATTTTTGAATATCAAATATTAATTTAGTATGCACATAATGATAATATTACATTGAATGCAGTTCATTTATAATTTGGCGGTAGATCAACTAATATAGACGGAACAGTTAATAATGCACATTATACCCAAGCTAAAAAGTATCGTTTATTAAAAGCGCACATTTATCTACAATAGATCTACATTTATAATATATCTTTGATGATCAAATAATATGATCCCTTATTAATGAATGAGGCATGAGCATATGTAATTGAACTGTAGTCATAAGTTACAAATCTCACCGAAAAATTACATTAAGAGGCGTCTACGCTTGCGAGCCGAGCACGAATTCGTGTATTGTGGACTGGCCTACGATACTCGAACGAGCGCGCGCCGAGCATTCGGCTCGTGCTCAACTGTGTTCCGCCAATTGTCGGTTTTTTTGACAAACACAAAGGCATTTGCATCGCACTCGCAGTGCGCTCGTGGGCGTGTTTAGTGATAGACGCTTCGCACGAGCCGACCATCATGGACACGTGGTCAGAAGAAGTTTGTTTGCAATTAATGAATTGTATCAAAACAATCTAATCCTCTAGGCCCTCTAGCTTTTTTACTGATTTCGAATATAATGATAATTTCAGCAGCAGCTGCATTAGCTAAATCGTCCATTGCCATGAGTCGCGTGCGCACTGCGGAAAGCTACGTTCGAGGACAGTAATCGATGGAGGCTTATTGTGCGTCTACACTTGACGCTGCGAACGACGACGAGCAGAGCGGCTCCGCTTGTGTTCGACTCGTTTAGCGTAGACGCACCTTTAAATGTGCCCGAGATTTAAAAATGGCGATTGCGATGAATGTAGGTACATGTAGTTTCACTGCAGTCAACTGACGGCGACTCGTGGCACAAGCTTCTCTAGCTTGTTATCAATATTGGAGTTCTAACGGCCAAAAAAACTGTTTGTATTCAATTACGGAACAATAACTTTAGAAGACTGCTAAACGCGATACAAGACACAGACAAACAGTCTTAATATGGTAATGATTTAGATAATAGTTCGCTTTAAATGGCTTAAGAAAAAAGAAATTGTTCTTATAGACTTATTTCACTCGAGTCAAAATTTTAACATACCTATATAATACCTCCATCTTCTTAATACCAAACAACTTAATTAAAAGTAATCTCTCTTAAGATTTGCTCTTATAGTCCTTATTTTGGAATTCCTCAAGGAAGTATTTTAGGACCAACACTTTTTCTGAT